TCTTGCGTGGCTGCCTGTGAGTGTGCATTTCTAATGTTCCCCTGGCCTACATCACAGACGTGATTGGGAGATTTAATTGTGGCTGCAGACTGTTCTCTACCCACTAAAAGCCCCCCCCCCCCCCAAAAAAAAAAAAAGGGGCTAAAAAAACCAGGGTAAAAAAAAAAAAAAAAAAGAAGAATAGCTGGCTGGAGGTTGGCTGAGCTGTGTGTCAAGTGGCGCTAAACAGCAACTTGCATCCAAGCGGTTAAAGGCCGCAGGTCTTATCTGAGGACAAACAGAATGCATCAAGCGGTGGCTGTTGATCTCGGTGATGACGACCAGCTGTGCACCGGTGTTTAATTATTTCTCCATAATGAGCTTACCCACCTTCCACTGCAGCAGCAGGCACACAAGAAGAGGGTGAAGAGGAGAAATGACTTCAAATCGCTTCACGTAGATGCATGCATACTTTTTCGCAGCTATAAAGACAAAGACTTCATGTCAGACTGTAGACAAAAAAATGTGACATTTGGGTTTCCCTAATATACCAGTGATCACAATTGATGAATCAGCACTGTTGACAAAGAAGGCGATTTGATGTTCAGATTATTTTCATGCATGGAGGAAGCATAATAGCATCGCAGCAGGCAGATAGAAGAGTGTGCTGTCGATACACATCTGGTATTTAAAAAGTACAGAAGACTCATAGAGCCAGTTCTGGTCCAGAAACATTGGAAAGTCACATCAGACCAGTGACAACACCACATTATAGGCCATTTCCACTCCATTTAATTCATAACCAATGTGTATACATGGTAATATACATTCTAATCCTTCGTGTGCTGTTATTAGAACCATTCCACTCGTATGTACTAGACATCACAACAACAAGCATAGCCGGCATATGGTATTACTTTTTCACTAGCCTATGGGTCAGTTCAATTCTGCAATTGTGTTTCTCTCCATTGCCTTCTGTATAGCTACACTTACATTTCAGTAGTGAATCATTCCACACAAATCAGAATGTCAGGAATGTCACATATCATCGATAATGGTTCAATACACGAACAGATCATAAACTAAGGGAGTGTGCTGTTGTATCGCTACTCTATTGTCACATTTTGAATGATCTAAAGTTAGGGGGAAGTATATATTTTTGGCGACGTTGCTTTCTGAACAACAATGACCATTGCTGTCTTAAATTGTAATCAATTAATAAAATAATTACATTTAAGAAAGGCTTGGGGATTTCCTGGACCAACTTTTGGTCAGAGTTTATCAAACTTGCCACAGTCTGTAGTTTAATGTGTGAGTTTGCCAGGAGAAGACCAAATCATTTGACAGTTGTGAGCTGCATTCTCTCTTTCTTTGTACAATACACAAACAAATGTGCCCCCATGGGGAAACATCCGCCTCAGTACACTGTGCAGCAGCCTGACTTGGAGTTCATCATAACTATTTGATTAAACACCATTCCTAAAATGTACACTCAATCTAAGAGATAAGATAGCTGGGGGGTGTCAGGGAGGTGAGCACCGGTAGTACTAACAGTGCTATCCGGTTTCACTGTTAATTAAGTGGAGCGCTGTTTAAAAAAAAAAATAAAAAAATAAAAAATAATGAGGGCCTTGCCTTCCTGGAATTACAAAAATAGTCCTTCCACTATCCAGCCTGCCGCCTGCAATGTCTCATCGAGATTATCTCAACAGACGACACCTTTCGAGTGACGTAACTGCACGATGCATCTGAGGCACACCATCAGATGGCTGCTTGCTTGATTTGTTTATCTATTTTGAAACTGCTTCGCTTTAACCTTTAAATGTTTATACCTCAGGGCCTGGAGACAATCATATGATGGTACATGTAGGTTTGATGGAACGTCACTGTGATTTGCCGTGGAAATCCTGGGCCACGTTGAGCGGTGCGGTTAACTATGATGGTTGTTGCGTGTTTACAGGAGAGCTGGACGCCTTCCTTAAAGATGGCGAGCGCCGGATCCACAGCCGTCAGCAGCTGCCTGTGGGAACGACTTGGGGACCCTTCGAAGGGAAGATTGAGATGGGTACCGAGAACAATACATTGGTATGTTCCTGGGGTAGTGGGTTAACAATTCTGTTCAATTACGGAGATGATTTTTAAAGTCTCTTGTCTTTACCTGAAGGTTTATAATGGCAATGTAGAGAACAATCTTTGGGCATTAATTAAGGCAATGACAGCCTTCATTTTTAATTTAGCAGATTAAAAAGTCAATGGCAAAATGAATTTAAATTAAGTGTTGGGTGGGCAGTCTGTTTTGGTTCTAGTTTTTTATGATGGTCTTGAGCATACCTACATATTAGAAATGTTGAAGATATGAAAGTATGTTTTAGTATTATCACTCCATAGTTGTATAAAAATCCGAATAAAAATATTGATTGCATAGTCAGAATAAAACTTACAAGTAATATTTTAACCATTTAGCCATTGACTCAACATTAAGTCCAAATGACCAATCTTAAGTGATGGATGTTGCTATCATTCAGAAGTATTTCACTCTTCTTGTGGATTGATTATAACGCATATCCAAACTATTTAAAACACTGCTGCCAACTACAACTAGATAAAAGTATGAATAACTTTTAAAAATGATTGAAACTCTCTACAAAAATGAATTACTTTTGTAAGCTTCCTTAAATAAGTCTTCATTTGGTCAAACTTACTAAAAAATTCAGGCCAGCAGACCATAGCAGAAAGCATTTCCCTCTTTTGGGGGGGTGCATCTCTTGAAACTATTAAATCTGCAATTTATACGGAAAACACCCTTCAGTTCAACTCAATTTAGAGAAATGAATTTGACCCAGAACTGGGTGGCGTTCTATCTTTGGTTTCCAAGATCCAGCCAAGATGAGTGTTGACCTGTTGCACTGGTGGAGAGAAGAGTCCTCCATGGGTTTGAGATGCTGTTCTACATTTGGTGTAATTAACAAATTCCGATTAAAACTGTAACCAGTCCCACATTCCTCGTGCAAGACACACCCAGTGTCTATCACCCCTATGGCTATAACAGTGCAACTTTATTTAACCATTTTTGGAGAAGTTTCAAATGTTTTCTAAGCTGTCCTCATCGTTTTATAGTCATCGGTAGCTGTAAATAGCCTCAGCCCTATGATAACCCTGAAATATGTCGGTTTCAGGCTAAAGTCACTTATTCTTGAATTTTACTGAATATCTCAAGTGGTTTTCCAAACAAACAAACAATTCCAAACGAAAATGAATTCCCCTGAAAGGTATCCAAGTCCAAACTGCAGCAGTCGCTAACGCTTCTCAAAAGATAACATTGATGACTTTTATTGAAAAAGTACCACCAACCGACTGGACAAAATGCTTCAGTTAATTGTTGATTCCTGCTCCTGGCAAGAGTGATGTGTTCTTAACGAAGTGCCCTCCGAGGACTTCATCACTACCTTGCAGATCCTTATTGGATTGTATCACTTTGTGGGCAAGTTCTGGTCATACGCTTTAATTGGCTGCACGGGGTTACAGAATATGCCAAACCTTCCTCGCAATTAAAAGCTAAGAATGAAGCTTCGGCATCTTACCTGTAAGGATCTCTGGTGTGGCTACTCTCACGGGACCCTTTCAGTGCTCTGCTTCTTGCCCTCCACTTTTCCGAGGTTCCATCTCTCATATGGATACAGGCTGTTAGCAGCTCCTCAGTATGTCTCATTAAAGGCTTGGTCAGCACCACATGCAGAATTGTCTTCGTGAGCTGAGTGAGTGGTTGTATTTTGGGGCGACATGGAGCTTGTTTCAACCACATTGCAACTCACTATGATCTAGTTCAAAATGGTTCACTGTCGGCTTGTGTTTAGATGAAAGTTCATCAGGGGGCAAAACGTGGAAAGTTTTACTCTGCCTGCAGAGCATGTGTTTTACCGACTAAAGAAGACCGAAGACGTCTTTGTGAACTTTTGCGACCTTGAACGAACACTGAGAAGAAAAAAAAAAAAGCTACATTCGCTACCGTTACAAACAGTCACAGAACGTTGCCACTTAGTGGGTTACAGCTTTCATTTTAATTAGTTTTTAGAAGTTATTTTTGAATGATTTGTTTTGGTTTCATTTTTATTAGTTTTGTTAGTTATTTATTAGTTAGTTATTATTATGTTAGTATTTTTTTTAATGTATGGAATATTTGTTGATTTCAAAAATGTTTTTAAAGTATTGTATAGTAAGTACAATTCCCAAACGACTGTTCGACCTTCCTTCCTCTCTGATGGAAAAGTAATATGTAAATAAATTCATTTAAAATTAACCCCGAAAGTTCATGTTTGATATTAATTGACAAAAATGAAAACAAAGGACATTTTCACTGTCATGACAGATAGTTTCAGGAAGTTTTGTAAATGTAAAATGTACTTTCAGTTCATTAGCATTTTTTTTAAAAGCATTTTGTTTTCAATTTAGTTCATTAACAAAAATGTTTTTCAGTTTTTGGGGTTTTTTTGTTTGTTTTCGATAACCATAAAAACCTTGGTGTGGGGCAATTTTAGATGTCACAGACCCTCCCAGAAAGCAGTAAACGCCCAGTTACACACACCGATGTGTTGTGATTGAACCTGATAAAATGGCTGCCATACACCGTAGCTTGCCATAAGAAGGTGCAACAAACATAGCAGAACATTGTCCAAATACAAAATACAAATTGCCGCCTTTCTGAAATTATGGCCTTGTATGCACTGCCAGGTTTTGTTGCATTCACCACATTACACTATCACTGACCGTTTCTCTCATCAGCACCGTGATTGCCGAGCATTTTAAAATTTATTTTACTCTTTCAAAATCTTGCCTGGCAACAATGACAATCACGGCCTATCACATTTGCCCATCCTGTCCCCACGTGTTGTTTCACGTCCATTCAGTTTAGTCTATGGGTGGACTGAAGTAAGGCTGCCATGCCCTCCAGGAAGGTAGTGTAAATGCAGCATTGGAAGCTGCAAATGGGTGCCGGAGCACAGGCTAGCCTGTTGTTACACATGCAATGGTTCGGCGGCCAATATGTGCTGGCTGCGATCGGATGACAGACCTCAGTCGCTGAGCAGACCGGAGTGATGATGGATACTGAGAAAGAACAAGGTGCAGAGTGGTGCATGCAATGTGCAAATGGGCCTGAAAAAAGACATATAACGCATGAAAAGGTGAGAATGAAACAAGAACATGGTGGGAAGAAAAAAAAAACAAAACTGAGGGATATAAACCACAACAGGAAATCTGATCATCTGCAGGAGAAAGACAGGGTCATATCTCAACCGTTTATCAAAGAGGATTTCACAGCTGATGGTTGTCTGTCACTGGTCTGCAGAGTTCATAGGCCCAGCTTGGCATTACAGTCACTGCTGTTACAGACAAGTGAACGACATCACATTGCACGGTGTTATGTGTGATTGATTACACTTTTGTATTTCATATGCATCATCATGGATGCAAGATTTGTCAGATACAGTACAGTCACATTAGGTTCACATGCACAATCAAACGAGGTCCAATGGGGATGTATATTACTTTACAACAATGAAAATGTTAATTTTGGTTTGACGGCGCGGTGTTCAACTGCTTAGCACGTCTGCCTCACAGTGCAGAGGTGCAGGGTTTGATTCCGGCTCCGGCCTTCCTGTGTGGAGTTTGCATGTTCTCCCCTTGCCTGCGTGGGTTTTCTCCAGGTACTGCACCATACTTCCACATTCCAAAAAACATGCATGGCAGGCTGATTGAACACTCTAAATTGTCCCTCGGTGTGATTGTGAGCGCGGATGGTTGTTCCTCTATGTGTGACCTGTGATTGGCGGGCAACCGGTTCAGGGTATCCCCCCCGCCTACTGCCCAAACACAACTGGGATAGGCTCCAGCATGACCCTCGTGAGGATAAGCATATTAAAAAATAGATGGATGGATAAATGGATGGATGGCTTCCTGGATATGGGAATGCTGGCCACTGCTGATGGTACTGAAGGTGTGTTCAAAGCAAAGGTAATACTTTCGGTCAAGAAGTACTATAGTACCTTCACTTACAAGTTTGATTTTCTCTCTGATCAAGCACATAACTGTTTACTCGCATGCCAATATTCTCCATTGAAATTAATTGCCATACCAACATTTTCTTACGTTTTAAAGAAAGATAAATAGCACTGTGTTGTATTCAAAATCAAACATAATAAAAGAGAATGTAAAGAAATACACGGGTTTTATACCATTTAATTATTGTGTGTTGTGAGAAGCAGGAAGACACAACAACTGTAGTGTTGTACGCTTGCTTTTTATGGAGTGTGGCCAGGGGAGTGACATCAAGAACTTACCGTAATAGTCAGCATGTTAGCATCTGGGTGAGAGTTTTGTCTACTGTAGCTCCTCTTTGTGAACACCTCATTTTATATTTTATGTCTTTGACGTTTTTTCCCCATTCAATAAATGGCTAAAATTGCATTTGCAATTGTTGCTCTCCTTGTTTTTTCTGAAGCTCGCTTATAACTCAAATCTATAAAAACACAATGCATTTATTTCTGAAATAATATATGTAACGATATAAACAAGATTTGGCATTGCTGCTATCCCTTCTCCATTACTCCTGCTCTTCTTTCGGTCTGACTAATCGAGCTGCCAGAGCACCGTCTCATCCCTCACTTCTCTCTCTGATCAATCAGACTATTAGAGTGCAATTACAGCAGCAGTCGTGGTGCAGGTGAGCGACAAGCGCATTCACGGCGCTGTAGAAAACACCTCCACTCAGCTCCTCGCACGCTCCAAATTAGCCCAAATTAATAGTGACACTCGGACATAAATGTCTGCAATCGGGGAGCTAAATGAACAGTCTGGGTCGAAGCTATTGAGTAGCAGGTGTCTTTAAAAGTGATAATTGCCGAGACTGGCCAGAACTGGGAGGAGAATGTGGCCCACAATTTGCCTGAAGTAAAAGGCCTGGCCCGCTTGAGCCTGGCTTCTGTTGTAGGTGTTAATAATTGATTTGGGGGCAAGCTATTAATGAGAGGCAGATTTCCAGCTCTGTTGTAAATGTGTTGATGAGGGTGTTGCTGTCTGTTGTAATGCCT